TCTTGGCTGGGGGGGGGGGGCAGGGGCCACGGATATTTGACAAATTGTTATTTGATGGACATCAAACGAGAAACAATTAGCATGCAATACCAACCAATTTTCACATCCGATTTTTATTTTTATATTACAGGTATTAAAAAATACCGTATTACAATACAAAACTATCCTTGTCATGCTGGAATCCAGGTTTTTCATAATCCATATACATGTAATTGTGAATTATTAACAACAAATTTACAAATAAAAATTATGCTTACTGTAAATTGTAAGGCCACCAATTTGTGTTATTATGCTACTATAAATTTAAGAAACAAATGTCACCGGGAACGTCACAGTACAAGCTTATAATTCAAACTGAAATTCTATATTTTGGAAATTTCGCCACAAGGCTGCTTCCCCGATTACGATTCCAAGCATCATGAGGGTATCCAAAATAGCATTTGTCAAAGTAGAATGTAAATCACTTTAAATTACTCTAGTCTAAGGGGCAGATCCAGACTTTTTCAAAAGAGGAGGGTAGGGGAAATTTGTATTCTTTTTTTTTCTCTTTTCAAAACATAAAAAATATTAGTGTCAAAATGCTGTTTTGTTTTATTGCGTTCCAATAAATGTTTCAACGTAATTAATTGACTGTGAAGAATATCTGTTGCTTCATGGGCTTAGTTCAGTGTGAAAAGTAACATATATGGTTGTCGGATAACAGCACACAAATAGTTCAATGAAGACGATATGGTGGCTAAACGAACAAACATGTAAAAATATATTTTTTTTAAATTTCATTTATTCCCGACAGAATGTACTCCTCTTCCAAGATACAGTATGGTTCATTAACCATTTTAAAATGTGATTTAACAGTTCAAGGCAAAAAACATGATTTGAAATGGCAGTAAATCATTGATTTGGCAAGTAATATTTTTGGTGTGTTCATAGAAATAATAATATATATTTTAAGTTTCAAGTAAATCTAAAAGGATAGCCAGCCATCCTATTTTTGAGTTGGCACGTAATGACTTCAGAAATATAGCACCAGAGATTACAATAATCTTATAAGAGATGTTACCATTAGATACTTCCGACGAACATCTGTATAATAGCACCATGTACCCTTGGAAGACAGTCAATTGATGAAATCTCAAGCAACTTCCCTATCATCAAAGATGCTGAATATATCCCAAAATATCAGCAGTTGTTGAATGGTTCACACACAATAAATATAGAGTACTACGTTGGTACGTCACGATACCATGTGATACTATTCCGTTGCTATCAGCAACCCAAAATGCGGTCAACTGGCTCTATTGTTTCCACTGACAAACCATTGATCCCAATTTCTAACATAATTATTATGAATCTTAATTTTTCTTCGTAAATTTTAATTGATGATTAAATATGTGTTCGATAACTATAATGCGAGCTTTTGTGTTTTTAGTACATTTGGATGATAAATTATTAGGTTCTAAAATGCCTATTCCAGAAAGCCTATTCGAAACCATTAAGATTGTGAAGTCATTAAGCCATAATGGACCGCTTTACCAATGTCTGGTTGACAACAAAGGGCGCCACCTGGTGTTGTGACGACACTTGCGTTGTACTCTATGGTTCAAATAAACTAATACACAAATAAAGGTGAGACTTATTTATACCTTGTTCTTCTTATTTTTTTAAAGATCGTCAGCGGGGGGTTGAAAAAAAATCAACTTTTTATTTCTTATTTAGCAAATAGTTTTCGCAAAAGTATCCAGACGGAGGAGAAAATAAAAATAAAATTTATTGGTGAATGCAAACAGTGTAATGGTAATGGGACGGTTAGATTTCACTGTTCCTCTCATGAGCAGTCAATATATAATAATAATGTCATTTGCCATATCTTAAGTATAGATAAGATGTTTTCAGCACCAATTGTGTCTATTTTGATAGAAGCAGTGTTCTTATCAAAGATCTTCTCGAGGAGCACGCCTTGTTGCAATTGAGACTAGGTCATTCCACAAATCATGAACACTTGTCTGCGGTCCCCAAGCATTCACTACATGTCCATCTTGATCAACTAGATACTTCCAGAAGTTCCAATTAGGTAGCATTCCACTATTTTCTGATGACAGAAAAATATATTTTATTTTCAGTTATTTTGTGTCCACATAATTCACAAAAACAACAACCATTTACAATAGAAATTAATATAAGAAGGGAGGTCAATGTACTAATTGTTCATCTTTTCTTTTTAATGCTGCTTTAGAAACAACTGATTACTATTCTAAGAAACAACAAATTATTTTTTTGTGTGACCCCCCCCCCCACCAATATAAGCATAAATATTTTGCGGTATCATTTTTAAGACTCTTGCCAGAAATATACTATTTTTATCTATTTAATTACTTATATTTCTTATATACATAATTTTGTTCAATGTTTGATATTTTCTACATTTTTTTTTGTTTTAAGTACCATACCCTCTTGAACAATAATTATCATCTTAAGCAATTATACCATACAGTATTATAAATATTTAAAAACATTTTTTATTGTATTATTATTATTCATTTAATTATTATAAAAACTATAATATAGTAATATTTATAATAGTATAAAACATTGCAATATTATATTTTTTTCCAAAAGGTTTCTATGTAAAATAATAATCTATCCATTTATGATTGGAGTCCAGTCATAATATGAATCTTTCTACTACTTCTTGCCAATTGGATATTGTCGCTATAGTCCCACAAGACTGACAGTGTACAAAAACATCTGTGAGAGAATAGGGCTATGTTCTCACATGGCTGCTAATGGTTAGCAGGATCCGGATCCTTCTAACTGTTAGCGTCCACTTGAGAAAATCTCGATCCGGATACCAAAAATATGATCGAATCACTGGCCAATAAGAAACTGGAAATTGTAAACGCGTACATGTGATTGGTTGATGATAGAAACGCGCTCAACTTGCTAACCGTTAGTGGTATCCGGATACTGCTAATGGTTAGCGCTAACTGATCGGGCGTTCACATGCAGGTGCTAATGGTTAGCGCTAACGGTTAGCTCCCGATCCGGATACTAGGGCTCTCGTGAGAACCAGGCTTAAATTTGTTTAAGGAACGTGCACACGTTCCTGCCTCTGTTTTGATTTGACAGCTGCTAAGTTTGATTGTCACTCCGTAAAGGCCTATTATTTTTATTTTTTGCCAGAAAAATTTCATAATATTTCTAAGCTCCTTTATTTGAAAACATAAAAAATAAATATTTTAATTGTGTAAGAAATTATAATCCAATTCTGCTCTAATGAAATGTAAGGATATCTTCTTGTACTTCCTGAGTAAACAAACACAGTAGACAGGTCTTTTGAACTGAAGTCCTTGATAATGGAACCAAAGGATGCAAATTGATGAAAAACATCACATTTTATTAAAAGAAAGATATATACTGTAATTGTTGGTATAGTAATTGATAAAAATACAATTGAGACCTGTCAACTATTTTTTTAAGACTAAGGACAGACTTACTTGTTAAGTACTGGTATGCAGGATGTGCATTTTGTCCAATGACGTCAATTTTTGAGAAGATCGGAAAATTGCAATTGTATGTATCTTTGGCAAATTTGACGATTTCAGCATTGGTACCTGGTTCTTGAGCTCCAAACTGATTACATGGGAAGGCTAATATATTCAGATGGTGCTTGATTTCTCTAGCTTGACTTAACTGAGACAATGCTTCATAATGACTGTGGGTGTACCCGCACTCACTGGCAACATTCACTACCAAGGATGGCTGAAAATATTTAACAGAACAGACTTTTGTTAAAGATGCACTTAAAAATGGTAAAAAAAATCATAAAAAATAATTTTTAAATTAACTTGCTCATTTTGCAGTAACATACAAATTATTAACTTGAGCATAGAAATGATTTAATTAAAATGTGTTCACTGATTTTTTAACTGGATAATTATAATAAAGATAATAATACGCACTTCCAGTGACCAGAAGTGTTTGTTGTTAAATAATGGTTTTTATGGGTAAGCATTTTTTAAATACACTAATTTCAAATTCTATGTTAAGTTGATAATTTTATGTTACTTCAAAATGGGCAAGTAAATTTCAAAAATGATTTTTATGATTTTTTTTTTTTTTTGCTTTTTGCAAGGGACAGTACATCTTTTGCTTTTTGCAAGGGACAGTACATCTTTAAAAAATAGATTTATTCAAAGAGAAAGTAAATACAACACTAGGTCAAATGACAACCTTAACGTACCCAAGCCAAGAACGGAATATAAAAAAAGAAGTCTATGTTACCGGGGGGC